AATCTTTTTAGAAGTGCTACATGCTAATTTTTATATGCACAAGAGGAGGGAATGTTAGGATTATTCAATGATGATTATAAAATTAATGTGTGCTTATGAAACATTTTTGCAAGGGGATGCTCCACTCCTGTCTCATGAATCAGTCAGACCATCCTGCCTTGTCATTCTGATGGAGCATCCTGTCTTCATGAACTGATCAATTGTTCTGTCAGAACAATACTCTGTTTGTAACCATGCGTCATGTTCTGTTAATAAACACTCTGCAGAGGAGGTCCAGTGGGAGACAGTATGTTTGAGTTTGGGGTTCAACTGTCTCTCCTTCCTGGAGGAATTGTATCGATAAGTCTGTAATTCAGTTCTTCTTAAGAAAAAACCTATTTATGAACCCGACAGTTTCTTCCTGTTAAAAGGGAGTTTTTCCTCTCCACTGTCACTACAAGCATGCTTAGTGTGAGGGATTGCTGAAGAGTCAATGAGTCGATGCCATCAACCTGTTTTCCTTAGATAGAAAATGTTGAATCAATCTGACTGTATGATCTGGTGAACTGGAAAGTACCATGAGATGACATGTTGTGAATTGGCGCTAAATAAATAAACTGAATTGAATTGAATATAAAAAAAAGTCTTAACCTGTACCTTCATTTTGACCGAACAGTCAGATTTATTCCTCTAGTTATTTATTCCTCTAGTTATTTATTCCTTTAGTTAAACTAAATTATGGGAAAATATATCTACTCACTCCAGTGTCCACTTCTTTGTAGAGATTACATTTTTGTCAAATGTACAAATCCATATTTTTCAGTGTTTCCCTCTGGAGTTTGAACAGTTGTTTATTTTAAATGCTGATTCTAGCTTTCTCAAGCAATGCCTTTCATGCATGACCGTCTGTCTGGCTGGATGTTTGTCTGTATTTATTTATTTATGGTGGACACCAAACATATTTCAACCTGAAGAAACACACAGACAAAAATACATTTAGAAAGGTTTTATTGACATGGATGAAATACATTATTTGGTTCTTGGCCTCCGACAAAACACTATGATGCTGTAAATGGATATTTGCTTCGGAATAGGAAAGGTTAGAGTAGTTTTTTATTAGAGTAGTAGAATAAGTCAGAGGATGAGTTAGACTGAGAATAGCCTGAGCGTGAGGATGGAGATGGGCGGAGGTGGGTGAAAGTTTGTCTGGCGGGCAGGAGGGAAGCTGGGCCAGAGGCTAAATAAAAGGGATGTTGATAGATGATTGGCTAAAGAGGGGGTGTGGTCCTAATGTTGATTGGCTGAAGCTTCAACGAGGCACATCAGGAGGTGGTTCAGGTGAGGCTGATTAGAGTCTTCCAGATTGAATTTTTAGTTAAACTTCTTTTATCTGACCTCAATCACCAATCCCTCAATTAGACTCTTCTTCTTTTGCCCTCATTTGGCTGTGGTTGCTATTGGTAACTGTTACATAACATTTAAATAATATGACTCATTTAAATACACAGTGACATTGAATGTGGGCTTGAAGAGGGCCGAACTTGAGGAGGAGCCTCTGGTGCAAACTGAGGCACAGCTGTGATCTGTAATTTATATGTTAGGAATCCAGTTTGTGTGTTTCTTCTCCCTCCACCACCAGGCGGTGCCCTGTCCTCATTTTGTCTTTGCTCATCGGCAGGAAGTCTTCCTGGGTAACTGGATACCTGGACCTTCTCCCCCTGGAAGAATTTACTGAGTTCACACTGAGTAGGGGAAAACCTCCACATGATCCATTCAAGTTCCTATTGGAAATCCAAGTGACAGTTTACTCCATTACTCCTCCGGGTCCAATGTATGTCTACCTGTCCGCTCAATGAGTTCCCTCTTCTCTGGATAATCCCACACAGACTGGATTCAAGGATTGACAAGAACCCCCTCAAACGTGAGTCCCATTCCAGCTTAATTCAAGCCGCAGTCTCATTTCCCACGGTCCCTGAACTTATCTCTGTGATCTCCCCTTCAGACTTTCCAGTTCAAGTTCACCAGTTCACTCATTTCCAGATCCAACCTCTGTTCACAATGCTACAAATAAACCTGTTAAACTTTTCTCTGTGTTCTCTGAGTGGTTTCTCTGCATGTGGGTCAGATTCCTTAAACTGATCATGACATTCTAATCTTTTTTTTTGTAAGTGTGACTAATAGATCAGGGTTTTTTGCAGTGCATTGTCGTCTATAGTTTGGATGTTAGGTTTAAGTACACTTTAATGTGTTTTCAATGTAATGCTTTATGAATGAGAGCCGAGACCCTTACATCTAAACATCTAAATGGGTGGAGAATGTTGCTTGTTACTAAACAAGTGAAAAATAAAATACCTCAAATTCTAGTCTATTTCTAGTTTTCTATTTGTTTATAAAGTAATGTTGAAAAACTGTAATAATTTAAGGATATCTCTTTAAGGAGCAACCTTAATGTTTATTATTAAAGGTTTTCCGGATCAAAAACGGTCCCAATTTTAACACAGATCAGAGATGTCCTAACATGCAATCTTGTATCAAATAGCAATGATTAGTCACAAAGACAATTTTCTGTTTTGGATTATCTTATTTACTGGATTCTTTTCTCACCAGCGGGTCAAAATTGGGTTCAAACCTCCCTGATATAACAGTTGAAGTCTCCTTATCAGCACAGCTCCAATATTTGCAATAATCTACTGTTTATAAAACATGATTATTAAAGATCTATCATGATTCAGTAATGATGGGACCAATCTGGTTCAGTAAAGATCCATCTCCAAACCTGAGCTTATGGAAAATATAAAATTAATACATAAAACCCATCAACAAAAATAATCTTCTCTACCTCAGTCTAACCTGCATCTCTGTCACTATGCCGCCATGTTTTAATCACATTCTGTTCTTGAACAAATATGTTTTAACTCCTTTTCCATATTATTGTTCATCATTTTAGTTGTTTGTTGATATTTCCTCTGTGGGGAAATGAAGGACTGTCCATCCCTGATGATGCTGACAGCACCATGATCATCCTGCTATTATCAGGTTTAATCTAAAAGTTGTTGAATGAAGTTCATCAGTTCAGCTGATGGTCGAGTAAAGGTATCAGGAGCAAAACTGGTTTCACAAAGCAGAGACTTTATTGACAAAGAAAAAAATCTAATTTACAAAGTAAAGAATGTTTAACTGAGGAAGATGTAAAAGATAATGCAGATTATAATAGATATTCTGTCCTATGAAACATGACAGGTTCTAGATAATTTTCCAGTTTATCAAATTTAAAAACATCTGATTTCATTTCTTTAATGTTTAAACATGAGCTGAAAAAATATCAGAGATCAGAACAATTGTAATGTATCAGGAGGAAGAATGAACATTTATAGTAAAATTTACACTGTTTAATTTTAAAGACACAAACCCTCTGTCAGGTTTATTCAATGATGATTATAAAGTTAATGTGTGTACATATTGAAGAAAAGAGATGCTTAACTCTGTTTACTGCAAACTGTCATGCAACGGTGGTAGAAAATTGCTGATGTTTGTGCAAGGATAATCCCAGTTATCAGGAGACCACTCTATTCTGTGATTCAGTCAGAGGAGCATTTGTCCTATGACCTGATCAATTGCCTTGTCAGAAGAACACTTTATTCTGTAATCCACCCCATGTGTTATGATCTGCTAATAAAAAGGCTTCTGCTGAGGAAGCCCACCAGAGAGCATATGTGGCTGAACGTGGCTCTCTCCTCCTGCAGAAGCTAAAAATCCCTATTCTGTGCGGACTCAGTTTCTCTTTTATGAACCTACATTTTTGAACGTAACAGCTTTCCCTTCAGGAGGGGAAGCGAAATGTCTTCAAATCTTGGAAACCAAGTCCAGTGGATTGTTTTTTAAAAACATTTACGGAATGTCTATGACCTGGATGACTGAGAATCTTCATCAGCTATTTACTGGACTCTTTTCTCACCAGCATTTCCAACTTAAGGTCAAACCTCAACAACTCCACTGTTTGCATTATCTATCATGATTCAGTAATGATGGGACCAATCTGATCCAATAAACATCCGTCTGCTAACCAAACCCGAGTTTATGGATAAAATAAAATAAATAAAACTCATCAACAAAAGAATAATCTCAACCTAAATCTGACCAGCATCTCTGTCACTATGCTGCCATGTTTTTGTTTGTTGATATTTCTTCTGCAGGGAGATGAAGGCCTGTCCATCCCTGGTGATGCTGATATCTGCATTATCATCCTGCTCTTATCAGGTTTGAATTTCTGTTAAAAGAATCTAAAGGTTGTTGAATAAAGTTAATCAGCTCAGCTGATGGTCCGGTAAAGAAATCAGGAGAAAACTGGTTTCACAAAGCAGAGACTTTATTGACAAAAAAAATCTACTTTCCAAAGTAAATGTTGAACTAAGAAAGATGTAGAATATGAAGCAGATCATAAAGGATCACAATATTCTGTCCAATGAAGGAGAACACATTCTTGTCTGTTATATAATCTTACATACATTTTCAAATGTATTAATCAGATTCAAAATCATTGGATTTCACTTCTGAAATGTTTAAAGATGATCTGTAAAACATCAGAGATCTGCAGAGTTTGAATGCATAGGAGGAATGAAAATTTATAGAAATAGTTACACAACTTAACTTTAAAGACACTCCTCTATCAGATGTAAATCTTTTTAGTTTATTTCTCATAACAACCATAATGATGTTAGAATAACATTTTAATCCTAAGCATCCTGCAGCTTTTTATAGAAGCTGAGATGATTAATTTAATGTTCCTCTGATATAAAAATATATAGAAAGAGACCGAAGTTACAGCATTAGTTTTATTATTTAAACTGTGATTAATTAAGGTAAATATTTGGTATTTCAATATATCTCTAATAGATGAACTGAAGCTTTTTCAGAGGCAGGAGATTTTCTGGGATGATTATAAATATGAGTGTTATTCTTTATCTGTTTCTTTCTTCCTAAATAAAGACGAGAAAAAAGATATCATGCCATCTCCCACAGACTTTGTTTTCTTCTTATCCATGGCAATTTTCATCTTCCTCAGTCTCTCAACCTTCTGGGTGTCTCCTTTCTCCTCCAGCTTCTCAATCAGAAAGTCCAGGTGGACCAAAGTGGAATGTGATACAACATTGAGGGCGATCTGCTCCAGTTTGACGACATGTTGATATGCTTCATCCAGATACATTGATCTTTCTTCAGACAGCTTCCTATATTCTTCTTCAAGATTTTCCAAAAGGCTTCGCTTGTTCTCACATTCAGCTTTATTCTTCTCATACTTTTCCTTCAGTGCTCCCACAGTCTTCTCAACTTTCTTGGTTTTGTTCACGTACTTCCACTTCTCTTTCACATGATCTGATGCAGGACATTTTCCGGTACAAACTGTGCAGCGACCATTTTTCATGACCTCACATTGCCCAGCATACAAAGCCATCGTACATCCAGGGTAGTGGCAGTTCTCCTCACATCGCTCGCAACAGACGGGTGCGTTATATAAAGACCACGTCCACCACGTCTCATCACTAATTCGTTCTCTGACTTTATAGGTCACATCAACCTCTATAGTAAAGTTCTCATTTTTCTTAATCTCGTTTTCATTGTTCTTGAGAGCTTCTTGGATTTGTTTAATCCCTTCCTGTTTCTGTTCACTCAGCTTCACTCTCTCCTGCAGGTTCTGGATGCAGGCGGTCAGTCTGATCCTCTCATTCAGAACCTTCACAGTTGTTGCTAGTTTCTGAGGTTGGGATGTGTCTAAGTAGGCGGTGAAGTTTTGTATTTGTTTGTTAGTAAAATCCCAGGAATGCTTCAAAGCACCAGTTTTCTTTTCTGTGTCCCTTTCTGTCTTCTGTAGATTGTTAAACAGAAAGTAAACAGGCTGATTGTTTACATCTTTGGCACATTTAATATCTGAATCTTCAAGAGCTTTTAGAGCATTTCTAGGTGTTGTTCCATCTGAGTGAGTGATCAGAGCTACAATATTTTTCTCCACGTCTTTTCCAAACAAATCCATCACTGAATTAAAGATGTACATCAGACGGTCACTCAGTCGGTTCTCAGCTGCCTTTATCACCAGACCAACTGCATGAATCTCCTGAACTCCATCCTCTGATCGAAACAAGTCTAACAATCTCTGACTAACATTTTCATCACGTTCTAGCCCTCTGGTGTCTCCAAACCCAGGAGTATCGATGATTGTCAGAGAGAACGGCAGAGTTTGATCTTCAAACCCAAAGATCTGATAGACCATCACATCTGAGGTTTGGCTCTCTGTCTGACTTCTCTTCTCTTCTTCTACAATCTGAAACCAGACTTCATCCTTAAACTTCACCCCCATGGTGTAGTTGACCAGAGCGTTGATCAGAGTAGACTTTCCTGTTCCTGTTTCATCAACAAGTAAGATGGTTCTGTTTGGCTTCTTCACATCTTTCTGACCATAAATGACTCTGGTCAGAGTCCCAAACTTCTCCTTCTTTGTTCTCAGCTGGTAGACGGCAGGGAGCTCTGATCTGATCTCAAAACTGTCTGAGATCAAGTTGTCAAAAACTGATGTGATTCTTTTCATCCTGAAAAACATTGATTCTATTGAATGAAAGTCAATCTTTTAAACATTATCTAAACACTTAGTTGTTTCATGTTTATTTCCTGATTAGTTATTGATGTCAGTTGAAAATTGGTCCCACAGAGAATCATTTCTAAATAGACTGATTTACTTTACTTGTTTTCTAGTCATGCTGACAGCTCATATCATCTTATACTATAGTCACATCAGACTCTCATGAAGGAAACTTGGGGTTCGGCACATCCACATATGACAGGAGGAAGCTGGAGTCGAACCAACAACTTTAATAATTTATATCTGATTCAGTCTTCTCTATGGTCCTGTTGCAAAATTTGTGTCCAAACCTTTTGTTACGAAGGTTTGACAAACAAGATTGACAAACAGAACATATTGATGGAATAAGTTTAAATCAAAAGCAGGAAAATATATTTCAATATTTTATTTCATGGTGTGCCAAACATTTAGATCTGTCATAAAAATATTTTCCTTGGAAATTATGGTTGTATCCTAGCTTTATTTTTTTCTGGTTGGACTTACCTCTCCATCAGCGCTGCTCTGGTTCTGTCATCCATCTTATTGTTCATCTCCTCCAGTTTCTTCACCTTTGCTTGGTCTCCTCTCTCCTTCATCTTCTGGATCATAAAGTCCAGCAGGACATGAGTGGAAGTGATGTTTGCTTTCACTGTGTTGGTCTCATATAATTTAACAGCAAGCTAGTAGGCTTCATCTAAGAGCTGGATCTTCTCTGCTGACAGCTGTTTATTTTCTTTTTGGAGATTTTCCAACAGACCAAACCTATTCTCACCTAGTGCCAGATTCTGTTCATACTTCTTTGCCACTGTTATTTCAGTGTGTTGGACTTTTCTGGTTCTGATCACATATTTCTGGTTGTCTTTCTTGTGCTTTGATGCAGGACACTTGTTGCTGCATGCAGTACAGTTTCCATTTTTCATGACTTCACACCTTTCTGGACTTAAGCCCATTGTACATCCGGGATAGTGACAGTTCTCCTCACAGAAGGTGCAGTAGACAGCTACTTCAGAAACCCACCCAGCTGGACCTGATTTAATTGGTTTTACAGTTTTATAAACTTCTGCTACCTCTGCAGTAAACTGTTTTGTTTTATTCTGTTCTTTGTGTTTCTTTAGGGCTTCATCTATCATGTTTATATCTCTCTGCTTTAATTTAGTGAACCTGATTCTCTCCTCCAGGTTCTGGATGCAGGCGGTCAGTCTGGCCCGTTCTATCACAGTTTCATACATTAGATCTGTATTATTGGGGCTGATATCTTTCAGGAAGTTCATTATTTGACCAGATCCTCTCTCTGACACTCTCCAAGCATTCTCTAAGCCAAACTCATTTTCTTCAGTTCTTTGGGTCTTTTGCTGGTTATTGAAAGTGAAGTAGATGATCTGGTTCTTCTCTTCAGAACATTCAATGTTTGCCTTCTCTAGAGCTTTAAGGACCTCATGTGGAGGCATTCCATCAGAGTGTGTGATCAGAGCTATGGTGTTTTCTGGTCCAAACAGAGAAAACACTGAATTAAAGATGTACTGCAGTCGATCACTGACTAGATGATCAGTCGCCTTCATCACCAGACCCAATGCATGAAGGTCAGGAACTCCATCCTCTGACTGAAAGAAGCTGAGTAATATCTGACTGACTTCATCAAAATGTTGGATCTGTCTGGTTTTTCTATATCCAGGAGTATCGATCATGGTCAGAGAGAACGGCAGAGTTTGATCTTCAAACCCAAAGATCTGATAGACGACCACATCTGAATTCTGACTCTCTGACTGACTTTGCTCTTACTCCTCCTCCACAATCTGAAACCAGACTTCATCCTCAAACTTCACCCCCATGGCGTAGTTGACCAGAGTGTTGATCAGAGTAGACTTTCCTGTTCCTGTTTCACCAACCAGTAAGATGGTTCTGTTTGGCTTCTTCTCATCTTTCTGGCCATAAATGACTCTGGTCAGAGTCCCAAACATCTCCTTCTTTGTTCTCAGCTGGTAGACGGCAGGAAGCTCTGATCTGATCTCAAAACTGTCTGAGATCAAGTTATCAAAATCCAATCTGATGCTTTTCATCCTGAAAAACATTGAATCTAATGAATGACAGTCAATCATTGAAACATTTTATAAACTCTCTGAATTTGTTTCATGTTCATTTGCTGATTAGTTACTGATGTTAAACTTGGTCTCACATAGAATCACTTCTAAATTATCTTATAAATGGACTGATTTACTATAGTTGTTATCTAGTCATGCTGGCAGCTAAGAGCATCTTACACTGCTGTCACATCAGACTTTCCTGAAGGTAACTTGGGGTTCAGCACATCCACAAATGATAGAAGGAAAGTGGAATTGAACCTACAACTTTTATATTTTAATCTGATTTAGTCGTCTCTATGATCCTGTTACGGAAGTGATGTCCAAACCTTTTGTCATGATAACCAAGATTGACATGGTGTGTGTGTTTATTTTATGTTTGCCCTTTTTGGTTACTTTGTGGGGACAGTTTAAATATGCTACATTTTAGGGATTTGTAGGCACTTTTGGGGACCAACCCATGGTCCCCATTAGGAGAGGTTTTCTTCTTTGGGTTGGGGTTAGGTTTAAGACAATGTGTGAATTGACTTCAGGTTAGGTTTAGAGTTGGGCATGTGATGGTAATGTTTTGGATAAGTACCAAGAACAGGCAACAAATATTAAGTCAATATGAATTGAAGCCAATGCAAAGTCCCCATAACGATAGTCTGACCCAACATGTGTGCGTACGCGGGATGTTGAATTAGATCAGATTAGATTAGTGTTGGGATCTGGAGGTCTGTCCACCTTTCTCCAGCAGAGGGCGTTCTAGGTCTGCTGGAGCTGAAGCTGACCACCACACCTGCGGCTCATGAGCTCATCAGGAGACCAGCATTTAAGGAGGGGCAGAGCTACAATCCGATGCCAGAGTGTTTGCCAGTTATGGTTAGCAAGCCTGAGCCAACCTGCCTGTCTGAATCTCTGACTCCCTTGAAACCTGAACCAGAACCTAATCTGCTTTTTGTCCTCTCTGCTTCTCAGGAAAAACCTGTCTGGAAAACCTGAAAACCTGGAAGAGTTTCTCAAGTGTGAAACCAAGCTGTCTGTTCTCAGAAGAACCCTGGAAATCCAACTCAGTCTGAAACCTGCCTGCCCGCTCTCAGTAGAGCTGAGAGAGAAGCTCTGAACCTGCTCAGTAAGATTTACTGCTCTGCCCTGCCTTTGCCTAGCCCTCTGCCTGCCTTCAGCCTCTGGACCCTCCTGGTTTCCCCCTTCTACCACTCTGCTCATCTCTGATCAGGTATAGACCTGCAAACTCCCAACCTACAAGGTCACTGAAAGACTGCTAACCAATCTGTCCCTCTCTGCAGTGAAAACCAGTCGTGACCAGACCCGGACCCAGTTTATCCCAGAAACCATTGTTCTTTATTGTGATTATTCTTCAATAAACTTTGTGAACTTTTTCCCAGCCTCTGAGTGTTCTGCATGTGGGTTAGATCCCTGAAAGCCAACATGACAATTAGATCAAACACCTAAATCAGGTCTTGCCTTTTGCCCTCTTAAACATAAAGTTAACTATTTTGCTTTTCTTGATTTTTTTTGGGTAACAACAGCAAAGCAGAAGTCATCCAGTCAGTGAAAATGCTGTAATTGGCTTAATTTAATAAATATTTGCCTAAAAAAAACTCTTTGAGTAAAAGTTACTGGATATATATTTACATAAATTCTATGTAAAATATGAATGATTCATGATGTGCCAAACATTTTAAATCATTTAAAAAAATATTTTCCTTGGAAATTATTGCAGTTTTCCAACTTTTATCTTTTATTTATGTTTTATTTTTTATTTAGGTTAGACTTACCTCTCCATCAGCGCTGCTCTGGTTCTGTTATCCATCTTGTTGTTCATCTCCTCCAGAATCTTCACATTTGCTTTGTCTCCTCTCTCCTTCAACTTCTGGATCAGAAAGTCCAGCAGGACATGCGTAGAAGTAATGTTTGCTTTCACTGTGTTGGTCTCATACAATTTTACCGCAAGCTCATAGGCTTCATCCAACAGCTTGATCTTCTCTGCTGACAGCTGTTTATTTTCTTTTACGAGATTTTCCAACAGACCAAACCTATTCTCACCTAGTGCCAGATTCTGTTTGTATGTCTGTGCCACTATTCTTTCAGTGAGTTGGACTTTTCTGGTTCTGATCACATATTTCTTGTTGTCTTTCTTATGCTTTGATGCAGGACACTTGTTGCTGCATGAAGTACAGTTTCCATCTTTTATGACTTCACACCTTTCTGGACTTAAACCCATAGTACATCCAGGATAGTGACAGTTCTCCTCACACACGGTACAGTAGACAGCTGCTTCAGAAATCCCCCCGGTTGGACCTGATTTAAATGATTTTAGAGTTTTATAAACTTCTGTTACCTCTGCAGTAAACTGCTCAGATTTATTCTGTTCTTTGTGTCTCTTTAGGGCTTCATCTATCATGTTTATATCTCTGTGCTTTAGTTCAGTGAACCTGATTCTCTCCTCCAGGTTCTGGATGCAGGCGGTCAGTCTGGCCCGTTCTTTCAGGGTTTCATACATTAGCTCTTTATTTTTTGGGCAGATATCTTTCAGGTAAGTCATTATTCGACCAAATCCTCTCTCTGAGACTCTCCATGCAGTCTCTAAGCTAAAATCATTTTCTTCAGTTCTCTCGGTATTCTGCACATTATTGAACGTGAAGTAGACGATCTGGTTCTTCTTATCTTTAGAACATTCAATGTTTGCCTTCTCTAGAGCTTTAAGGACCTCGAGTGGAGGCATTCCATCAGAGTGTGTGATCAGAGCTACGGTGTTTTCTGGTCCAACCAGAGAAACCACTGAATTAAAGAGGTACTGCAGTCGATCACTGACTAGATGATCAGTCGCCTTCATCACCAGACCCACTGCATGAAGGTCAGGAACTCCATCCTCTGACTGAAACAAGCTGAATAATATCTGACTGACTTCATCATCATTTTGGATCCCTCTGGTGTCTCCATATCCAGGAGTATCAATGATGGTCAGAGAGAACGGCAGAGTTTGATCTTCAAACCCAAAGATCTGATAGACGATCACATCTGAGTTCTGACTTCTCTCCTCTTCCTCCACAATCTGAAACCAGACTTCATGCTTAAACTTCACTCTCATGCTGTAGTTAAACAGAGCGTTGATCAGAGTAGACTTTCCTGTTCTTGTTTCACCAACAAGTAAGATGGTTCTGTTTGGCTTTTAATTTTTCCTGCCAACAGTAACTTTGGTCAGATTTGCAGTCCTCTTTGTTTTTGTCGGCAAATCATAGATGGCAGGACATTCTGAATCAATCTTATGACCGTTGGCAATTATTTCACCAAATTTTAACAAGATGTTTGGTTTCCTGTAAAAGCAAGGAAAATGTCCAGTAAATGGTGATGAAAACCATTAATCAAACACGTTTTCTACTAATGACATAGAAAAATGCATATAGCAGGCCCATCTAAACCAGAGGACTTAATCTGATGCCTGACCAGTTGAAGGACCTTACAATGACCCAGAGCTCCTTAAATAAGACATAGAGATTTAACCACTCAGTCTGTATGATCTGTTTGCATTGTCTTTTTAGGGTGCCTAGGCATGAACGTTTTGTTTTTGCTTTTTGGGTTTTTTTTGTTCATTTCCTCTTTTG